CATCCTACTCTCACATATAAAGTGTTTGTTTACCGGCTCTCTTATGCGCACACCCACCATATTACATATTAATTGTGACCGATAGAAAAAAATAGAACCAAGTAGAAAGTGCTGAATTAAAAACCATTAAAAAAATTATTTTAGTGCAGCGGACCAGGAACATTGTCTCCTTCCGTCACCTAGCAGGGGGGAACACTTGACAGACGTACGTTTCCTGGAAACACATGCATCAAAAGTAGAAGGAGACAAGTTTAGTTAGTTAGTTTAGTTAACGTTCGACTTTAGCTCGTGTTTATTGAGTGTTTATTGTGTGTTAAGTGTTTATGTAAATGATATATATTAGTTAACTGTTAACCAGTGATTTGTTTGATCGCTACACGTCGTGTTGACTGTGAAGGATGAAGATTTAAAAGGCTCAAACGATGCGAAGTTTACCTGTGGACTCTGCTACAAAAGCTAAAGACTACTGTGTCATGGTAGGCTAACTCTGTGTGTGCGTGTGTTGTTGCTTGTGTATGTGTGTGTGTACGCGCGTGTGTGTTGTATATGTATCTTTCATATTGTATTGAAAACCTATTAATTAACCTGTATTGTCATACATTTCTCTACTGGCTAGCAGTTAATACAGTTTTATTTATATTTCATAATAACAATGTCATTTCACGTTACTACGTCACTAGTCTAGATGTTTAATAATCAAATTTGCTGTGCCCTCATCCCTGCTTTAGATACATGTCATCTCCAGATATACAGATTTAAATTTCAAGTTTCAGATGGGATTTGGGACTCTTGTTTACATATAGGATTATTAATAACTAAACATACAAGATACAGCTAGTTGTTGAAAGGCTGCAGTATTTCAAATACAAAAACTCAGTGTAATAGCTAAGCTGTAATTGTCTGAATGCTAAGTGTGTATGGATTCTTCAATTCTTTTGTTCTTTTATTTTCTTCTTTATAACATGTCTATATTTTCATAGCATAAGCATAACTAACAAAACAGCATTTTTTTTTCATTACAAATATAAACAAAACAGAAACAGCAGCATTTCAGACAACATAAGAAAAATAAAAACCACACATTTACAAAACCACAACAGCAAAACATTTATGTACAACAAAACATTTTAGACAAATAAAACAAAAAACACACCAACACCAAAACAAAACAGAAAAGAAAGCAGAACAGTTCTCATCTCTGAATTTAACAGAACCAAAGCCAATTCACTGACACTATACAGTTGACAGTTACAAGTAAACTCCACAGATTAGCTGACTGGTCATGGGTGTATTGAGGGATGTTTTCAAGGCCTTTGTCTTTATAGAAGTTGTCAAGTAGAAGGAGCTGTTTTGGGTCTCCTTGGATCTTCAAGTAAAAGTCCTGTTCATTCTTCTTCCATAGACAGTGTTGTATGACTCTCACGTGAAGCACTTCTGTGGCCTGGATCACCATGAGACTGGGTCAATTATTACTTCATAGATTAACAGCTACATTAGAGCATATCTGGTTCTTTGATTAAAAAAAAAAAGTTGACTGTGGTTAATTCGACTCCAAAGTGATTTTTCAGCATGAATCATCCAATCTACAGCCATTTGTGATTTCCTGTCTCAACATTAAGAGCCAAAGCCACAACATCACATCTGTGTTAGCCTCTGTTCCATTAGCTTCTGTCACTCAATGCAGTCTTTCTCATTTAGCATTTCTTTTCTCTGTCTTTGGAGCATCTTCCTGGGGTTTACTTTTCATATTCTGAGACAAATCAACATCCAACACAGCAGCTGCTACAGAAAATTGAAACCTTGACAAGTTTAGCAGCAATTACTTTGTGAGAACAGAAAAATCTTACAGCTCCCATGAAGAAAACTACAAGTACGGCATCCATATCCATAAAACACTCTCTTCCAAAGCCATTTTTTCAACTTTCTAGTTGCAGTCTCTGTTGTTTTAAGACATGTCTGTCCTGCTGACATGTCTGAGCTGTGACACCTTGACTTGATATTTAGTTCACAAATGTCTAGGGCATTGTGGAAAATTGTGTTTTTTTTAATGGCCGCTAAAAGCTTAAATATTGAATAAACAACACTATTCAGATCAATTTTCAAAAAACTAGCATCCCTATCAAAACTACTAGCATAGCTACAAATGTCGATTTTGGGGGAGGTTTTGTTACTCTGGAACAGAATCCAGATGTTCTGGTTTCACTTAGGCTCTCTGAAGAAGTGCTGTTAGCAGTACATATGACAAAATTTCATGCTAACTGACTGGATGATTCTCACTGAAAAACACCTTTGGAGTCACTGTTAACTTCATAAATGTTTATGTTCACAGACTTGTACCTTGTACAACAGACAGAAAAACATCATTTTCTGGGGGTGTCGTCGGTCCATAATGCAAACATTGCTACAGAAAATAAGCTAACTGCATGACTACTGTGCATTTCAATGCATGCTGACCTGTATTGTGGTTCATAGGTATATCCCAGTCCCACCATGCAGTCAGATGGGGACAGTGAACTGAGCCTGGACGCCCAGCTGGCCAGTAAAGAAAGGGAGTGGAAGGAGCTCCAGGCTTTAAGGGTTCATCAGCTGGAGAGTTCCCTCAAAAAGGCCCAGGAGGAGTGCTCCTCCCTCAGGTATCCGCCTCCATCCACCTCATCTCAGAATAACAGTAAATGTGAACTTTCTGCTAGAAAAGTTTAATGTAGGATTAGCAGCAGAGCCCAGTCTGTCTTTGAAAAAAACAACAATGAAATACACTGAGGTTCCATAGTTACATCAGTTAAATATCAGTGTTGCATAAAACACTTCTTGAAATTCATCCTGGCAGCTTAAAGTGAGCAACACTAAAGGAAACAACCTTTAAATTTAAAATTGTGTAAAGCTAACTGAACCACTAACAACACATAACCGCTGCACATGCAGAACATTTAGAGCAGATTTGTATGTGCATACATGTTTAATGAGAAAAAGTCCAAATGCAAAGATTGGTTTCAGGAATTTAAGAATGAATATTGGATCAGTGAATTAAAAATTGTGATAAATCAGAAAATTGATTTATTTCATTCCAGATGAGTTTGTTGTTACGTTGCAAAATGATTATTTTCACTATCACTTTATTTGTTGATTATTTTTTCAATTATTTGATTATTCTTTTAGTATATGACCTTCAGAAAATGATGAAAAATGTCAATCACAAGGTGGCATCTTCAATTTCTGCTTTGTATCTGGCCAACATTCAAAAAATCCAAATAGAATTTATAGTGACATAAAACAGAGAAAAGCAACAAAAAGAGTGTTTGTTGTCAAACATGTCTGCAGCCATGTCTTTTCTGTTTGATTAGATTCATTCTGTATGTGTGTCTATACATGTGTCTATACTGTATGTTTTTATGTTGATGGAGTGGATGCGAGACTCTTGTGACTGACTATGGATGCGTATTGTTTTTTTCATGAATTTGTTATTGTTATGTCACATTGCATTTGTTTTTTTATTTATTACATTCATTTGTAAACTATATTACAGCACAGTGAGTTTACTTGTAATGAAGTGGAAATACAGCTGTTAATGTGAGTTTCTTTAAGTAAAAATAAATAAATACAACCCCTGCAGCAAACAGACATTATACATGAGCTTTTCTTTAAATGTTAATGTGACATTTATCAACATTACATTAGGTTTTATTTCATGAACTTGAAAAACAAACCGCAATTATAGCAGAGGTTTGGGCTCCATACATGTAAAACACTAGAACTTCCATAACTCATTGGGTATTAATTAACTTGTTAGGTCTTAATTAACTTGTTAGGTCTTGTACGGCAGGTCAAGAATTGTCATTAGGAATTGCTGTTGACATTTTAGGCTGTCTTGCCTATTCAAAAGATTTTCGGTAATGTTCATGTCAAGTGGGGGCTGTTGGGCTTGTGTTTCTTGAAGTGGTGGACTTTGAGGTCTACTTTGGATCATTGTGCTGTTGTAGAGTCCAGCCTCTTTTCACTTTCACCTTCTGAACATGCTGCAGGACATTTGCATCTAGATTTTGTTGGTATTTAGCTCTAGTTTAGTTATATTGATAATAATAATAACAGTTAATAATGAATAATAAACAATAAAAATTAGATACGTCCACTTCCTTTGGCTGAGGTGTTGTATAGCCTGATGGCAGTGGGAACAAAGGATCTCCTGAACCTCTCTGTTCTGCAGCCCGGTGAGATGAGACGTTGCCAGCAGCTGTAGCTGCTTCTCTGTCCTGTCAGAATGTTACTTGGGACTCGGAAATTTTTGAGTGAGCAAAGCTGTAATGCCGTGTATAAAACAAGAAAAGTGAAATGTGAGTGTCTTTGGCAATTAGACCCCGATGTGATGTAATCGTATTGGAGAGGGGAAGAGATGCTGTGCAAAATATAGGAAATCCCCCGGGGCCTATACACTGGTGGTCGAGAGATGAAATGATGAGAACCAGAAAAATGATGAGGATGGATTCAGATGGACTCATGCAGGATGCTGGAGGTGAAGCTGGCAGTGAAGGGGAGAAGGAAGGTTGAAGCAATCCATCTGAAATGACAGCTGACAGCAGAATAGAGAACAGATTTAAAGTTTGACAGAAATGATATGATTGGATGATTGGGATTGTGGCAAAATATGATAGGTTGACTGATAATGCTCATGGTCAGCTGATTATGGGTAGCGGAGAGAGAGGGAAGTGTGAATGAGATGAGATGTAGAAGTAGTCTTCCTGATTGAACTTCATTAGAATCCATTCTTCCCTCTTTTTTTTTCTTTTCTTTTTTTTTTTTTTTTTTTTACATATTTTTCTTTTCTCTTCAGAGATCAACAGAATCTGTGATTTGTCCAAACTTTTTCATACAGCTTTATTAGTAGAATTGACTCACCTGTGTGTGTGTGGAAAAGTTATGTAATCAAGTCACCTGTAAATTGAAATGATATTGTTATAATGCAACACCAGCTTGAACATTTGAACTCTTACAGGGTTGAGCCAAGTTACAAAAGCAGATAGCTTTAGTTTTATTTGTACAGGTTTTGAAATGTGTGTCAGAGATATCTGCCTCCAGCCTAATACAATGTAGGTGTGGGGACTTTATCTGGGCAGACACGTTTCTGTTGAAATGTTTAATTGTCATTTTTCAGTGCAGTCAGCACCACAAACTAAATCCTATTCACCTCCATTGTACTGGTGCGGACAGATATCTCACAGTCTGAACATAGAAAACAAAAAGATCTGACTCAAAAGTAAACTGATTTTTGAAATTCAAGTCAACAGTTTCTGTTAGAATCAGAATCAGCTTCATTGGCATTTGACTCCAGTTTGCAGTGAATGTCAGTGTACTTGCACACAGTTCTAATAACATTGAGCCTTGTGCAAGAACAACATTGTTACTCCCCCACCCTTGGGCGGCCCTATGGAGGCCACAACACTCCACCAGTGACCCAAATCAACCACACAAGACTCTTTAAAACAACCAAATTCATAGATATACAAAACCAACAGGACACTTAATCAAGACTATGAAAGGCTCAAAATCAGAACATAACCCCAACTCAGAACACAACAACACCAGCAGTCCCCTTGCTAGTCTCTTCTGATCCTGGCATCAGAAGGGAGAGGTTATCTATCTATATACAAGTGGTTTAAAATAATCTGTGTCATTCTGAGTGTTCTTCTTTACTATGAGTGGTCGACACCCAATTTACTGAAAGGTGTTCTAGATTTTATCATCTTTACTGCCATATTTCAGCAAAGCAACTTTATTATTTCAGTAGTTTCTGGAACATTCTCTCAGTCTGGCAGCTGAGTCAGTGTCTGTGTCCAGTATCATCCTATGTTGCACTGTACAGTGTAACATCTCCTATTGTTGACTATAAAATTCTCTCATCTAATATCTGTCAGTGCCACATGATGCTTCTCATATTAGTCATGAGCTGCTTTACAAAGACATTTTTAGTGTCTACCTTCACGTCAGTTCATTCCTCTTTATGCTACTGTCTGGTGCTACTGTGATGACAAGTCATCAACAGCTGTATAAATGTTTTCTAATAGTTTCAGGTCCTTTAGTACCACTTTTGATACAGTTTGTATTTCAGACATGAAGCTTCATGGTGTGAAATTCTTCTTTTTCCTCCTTGGTAAAAAAATGTTTTGAATGAAATGAGTCCACAAACTTAGTGGAACAGGCAGCCTTATATGGCCATATATGTAGATTATGCTAATGATGTATCTAACTAACCTCCTTATGAACAGGTGCCGTTCATCAGGGTGAAATGAGCAATTTACATCAAGTTTGTTCAGTTAAGAGAATTTGGTGAATCTGACTTGAACAGAAAAAGTAAGAGAGATTCCGGGTAAGAATACAAAATTGTTGGGGGGCTGCTCCTGAAGTTCGCTATTATCACCACAGTTTTAAGAGTGTTCAGCTGTGGGTTGTTAAGACCGCACTAGAGGACCAGCTGTTCAACCTTGTGTCTGTGTGCAGACTCATCAACGTCTTGGATGAGGCCAGTGATCCCTGTGTCGTCTGCAGATTTCAGGAGTTTAACAGGGGTGTCTCCTGCAGTGCAGTTGTTTGTACAGAGGGAGAAGCGCTGTGAAGAGAACTACTTCCTGTCTGTCAGGAAGTCATTGATTCACTGACAGGTGGTTGTGGACACAGTGAGCCGGGTGAGCTCACAGTGGAAGACTTCTGGTAGAATGGTGTGGAAGCTGAAATCCACAAACATCATATGTCCCTGGGGAGCAGAGGTGTTGCAGAGTGTAGCTCAGGTTCACAGCATCATCCACCTACCTGTTTGCTTGGTGGCCAAATGGGATATGTCCTTCAGATGGGCCAACACCAGGGCGACATTCCTTCAGTCCAGTGATGGAGGACTGAGAACTGGGATGACTGTGGAGCTTCAGTGAGAACTGTTAAAGGTCTGTGTAAAGAGGAGGACCAGCTGGTCACACCAGTAACAAAAAATAAATATTTTCTAATGATGGCGACACCAGGAGTCCATTTAGGCCAAGTCCTTCAACATACACACAGGTCTTACATGAGGTCGTGTCTTTCTTTCTGAGCACAGTGATAACCAGTCAACTGTTTTGTATTTATCAGAGAACACTACCAGCAGCTGAAGGAAGATTTCCAGTTCAACATGGTCATCCTGGAGGAGCGAGACCGAGAGCTGGAGAGATATGACGTCATAACGACCAGAGCTCTGACTGTGGAGCACAACAGGTACAGTTCATCAGGGGCCGAAACTGCATATCTTAAGTCTGAAGATAGGAAGAGTATAAAGTATTGTTTTTCTTAATTTGGTGATACAGAAATGAATCCTAACTATGTTAAGGAATCGTATTTCATCTCAGGTTAGAAAATCCTAAATACTACATCCAACATCAACCTTTATGTCTTTCCTAGCTACCGACGCTACTTGTCTCATCTTATCTAGGTATTTTTGCAACTCTTTTTGTACATTTCTCATTGAGACGTACAAAAATGGAACAAAAACAACAACAAGAACTTAACTTCAAGACAGATGAGTTAGAAGTTAGAAGAAAATCTGTTGGAAAATCCAAAGATGTTCTTTTTGGGAAATATAACAACAACGCTAACTCAGGAGATAAAAGACATATTTAAGAGATAATATTTAAGAAAGAGAAAAAACAGTCAGTGCTGACCCAGAAAATGTTTGGTGTTTTTATCTGATGCATGGCAGTCTTTGGGTCATGTGAAATGATCTTCAGTTATTCATATTATCATCATTAATGATTTAAAATTATTAATTGTCTGTTGATTGACAAATTGATCAATCAACTGATCATTTTACTCCCTGTTCCTTTGTTGATATTTGTCGTACACCTCAACATGAAATGAAGCACTATGCTGATAAGATGCAGGGAGGGTGACTTTGTGGAAGCAGAGCTCACCTTGGAAATGCATTATATTAAATCCAGAAGGTGTGCACAGGAAGACACAGTGACTGTGTTAATTAAATCAGCTAATACTGAAATACTGGTGTCATTTGCAGGCAGGAGCAGCTGAGCCAACTCCGTACGCAGGTCGCCAAGTTGGAGGAGCAGAGGGCCAGAGAGGCTGAGGAGAGGCAGGAGGAGCTGAGGAGGAGTCGGGACAGTGCTGCTCAGCACAGGCTGCAGCTGGACCAGCTTAAGTGGTGAGCCAAGAAAGAGACAAGTCACATTCTGAGTTTACTGTCATAACCTTGACAGCAAAGTGAGTCTTTGATGTGCAGGACAGTGTTTGGTTTTAGGGGCCAGGGCCTGTCGCTGTCATAGCAGATGAGGGTGGAGTTTTTTTATATTTTATCTAACCAGTTGTCTCATTGAGATCGGGATCTGTGGACAGAAATAAACATATACAGTTTATACATAGACAGACACATAAATACACAGGGATTAAAATGGACACACAGATAATTCACAGATGTACATTATACACTTTCACATTTAAAAAAAAAAGGATGTGCCAGTTACAGTCTTTTAAAATGTTCCAGTGAAATAAGAGAATGTAACTTCATATTCATATGTAAGCGCTGTGTTTGAATGTTACCAGAGAGCAGGGGTAACGAGGCAGAGACTTATAAATAAATAACATACAATGCTGCTCCCTTCTAATTGTTAACGAGGACCATCCCACCTTTTCATATAGGATGCAATGGTTGAGGGTTGAGGGTGGGGCCTTGTTTGCACCACAGGTGTGAGGGTCAGGAGCACTCAGGGGGTCTGTCGCTGTAGCTTTTGATGCAGGAAAGACTGTATCATGCAAAAACCTCAATTATAATGAGTCTGTTATTTTTTTTGTATCTCCCTCATCAATTTGCTCAGAGAGTACTACATGCATGAATGTGAGTCACTGGGCCTGAAGCCCAGTGACTCACATTCAGGCAGCAGTGTTAACCATCACTCTGCCCAGCTGCTACATCACTCAACACACCAGTCATCACTCCAGATTGGCGGCACAGGCTTTTTGTCTGTCATCACTTCAATCGAGTGGCTTTATAATACAAGATTTACCATTTTGATTTATAGCCAGAGTCAGTTTTAGTTTGTGAGATATTTAAATTATATTTGATATATTTTTGAGTTCAGTGATCTATGTGAAGAGTGGAGTAGATTTAGGTTTTAAAGACAAGAAAAACTTATGTAAAACTGCAAAGATTCATGGGACATTTAAACCTGCACAAGTTTCTCAGTCAAAGGTGCAAAATAGGATGAGGAAATCCACATGAGTGCAGATAAGAGGTACATTTTCTTTACTCTCTAGAATATTATATATACATATGAATACGTTTATGATACATTTTACTCTACTGTTTCAGTTTTCTAGCTTCCTACCCTCTAAAATTGACTTGTTCACTCTGAACACAAAGTTTAGAGAACATGTCACATATCAGATCTTTGCATCCCTTCACTGGACAGCTGAGGCTTCTTTAAGATTTTATATATTACATTTCAAGTTCAAGAAAAAGCTTCTGCATTGATGGAGTCAGGGTGGTAATTCTAGTCTTAAATTGTCTTTGATGTTGGGGCTCCGGGGCTTTGGAACATTTCAACATTGGTTAAGAAAGCTGCTATACCGACATAATACTCACCTGAGATAAACTATCTGCATGGCTAAATGCCACGGGGGGTAAGTTAGGAAAATCTGCTTTGGTTGAACTGTCCCAGTAGGTAGACATTTGTCAGCAATTACAGGAGTAATGTTAGCTGGGTTGGAGTGATAGCTTTTTTTCTGAGAGGGATTTAGTAATCACCTCAGTGTCAGTGTTAAGTCTCTGCACATGTAGTTTACTCAGTCACTGTTGTGTTGAATTTTCTTTGTGTGTGTGTGTGTGTGTGTGTGTTTGCGTGTGTGTGTGTGTGTGTGTGGTAGCTCTATGGCTGGTGAAATACACAAGCAAACGGAGGAGTATGAGAGGATGAAATGGGATTTGCAGCGCAGAATACAAGAAGTAGAGGGAGAGATGACCCGACAGAGACAGGTGAACATACACAAGCACACACACACACACACACACAACCAACATACCTACACACACACACACACACACACATAAATGTATACACTGGACCCTAAAAACCAAGTCTTAACCTTCAAACTGCTCTTTGAAGATGTGAGGACCAGGATGTCCTCACTCCGTAAGTCTATAAATCCTCACATAGAATTACACACACACCGCGCACACGCACACGTACACACACACACACATAAACGTATAACACTGGACCCTAAAACCAAGTCTTAAGCTTCAAACTGCTCTTTGAAGATGTGAGGACCAGGATTCCTCCACTCCGTAAGGTCTATAAATCCTGCACAATTAGGGGTGAAATTACACACACACCACCACCCACAACACACACACACACACACACACACACACACACACACACACACACACACACACACACACACACACACACACACACACACACTTTTACATCTTCAGAAGACCAGAAACTGTTCCAATCTGATGACTGTGTGCCGCAATGTTGATCTATGATTCATCATTTTGAATAAAACCTTTTATGGCCTCTGCTACTTCCCTCCAAAACATATTGCCATTCATGGATATGAGACATACTGGGCTACTGACACGTACAGTATGCACAGCTTTATCACAAAGCGACTCTACACAGTGACAAGTCTTGTGTTACACCTCTTCACAGCATCCTCTGTACGCTGCAGAGCAATAAATAACTGGCAGAGCAGCCAGACATTCAGAGGAGAGCAGCAGCAGACCTTTAGGATGAACCCAGACAAAAGAGCCCTCACTCCAATTCTGACTGCTGTCTGTATCTGTGGGCTTTATTAACATGCACACAGCACATGCACAAGTATGTGTGTGTGTGTGTGTGTGTGTGTGTGTGTGTGTGTGTGTGTGTGTGTGTGTGTGTGTGTCCACTTATCCGTCAGGTAAGATGAGCAGGTCATTACACTGAGTGACGAACAGGTGAGGATGAATCTTTTAGGCCATTTTTGGCTCAGGGAGGGAATGTGCTTTTCTTCTGACACTGATCAATAACAAGTGAAAAGATTCATCATCGTCCTCCTGCTACTGTGTCCACACGCACACAGAGGTGCACAGCTGCACTGGACACGACACATGGAGATGATTTACTGTCTTTATTTTTATTCCTCCGCGACAGTCAAGGCATTGTGTTTTCAGGTTGTCCGTCCGTCCCATTGTCGTGAACATGATGTCTCAGTAACACCTATTTGGCACAAACATTCATTTGGACTCAAGGATGAACTGATTAGATTTTGGTGGTCAAAGGTCAAGGTCACAGTGACCTCACAAAATGCATTTTTGGCCATAACTCATGAATTCGTCTGCTATTTAACTCACAATTTAACCCATATTTCTATAAGGATAAAATGAAGTGATGACATTTTATATCCAAAAGGTCAAAGGTCAACTTCACGGTTGGCCATTATTCAGTGCTGTAACTCAGGAAGGGGAGGTTGTGACCATATTTCCTGCAACTTGTCTGGCAACTTGGTTAGTTCTTTCTAATGAGCTTTCTAATGTACATATTCATTAAAAAGAACAGTTTCAACTGAAAAGGATTAGAAGATTTTTCCCCAAAACCACATGAAGGGGTAACGTAGTTTTATATTCAGCCTGGGTAGTGCCTGCAGATCTTCCTGCTTAGTGCTGAAATAACTGACAGGAACTTATCAACATTTTTATCACCTCCTCTCTTCTCTGATCTGGACTCTGTTTACAGAGATTACACTCAGTGAATCAGAGTGAAAGTATAAAAACCTACTCCATTTCTCTCCATGTCTCCCTCTCTTCTTCTCTCCTCTTTACTCACCCAAAGGAGAAAAGTCCTTATCCCATCCCTCCCCACTGGACTGCACCAAGAATTACTGGGAGCCCTTCTCTTTGCAATATGCCTTGGGTCATATCCACATGGTTGAATGGATGCCAACTTCAACTAAACCTCTCTATGACCAAACTCTTAGTCATCCCAGCCACTCAGTATCACGATATCAATATACCCCAACCAAGGTTGTAGGAAACCTGGGTGTCATGTTTGTCATCTGACCATGATGTTCTATACGACATCAGAATCAGGTCTTACCTGACTCAGTACACCACCCAGCTCTCGGTTATCTCTCGCCTCGACTACTGCAATGCTCTTCTGGTGGACCTTCCTTCACACACAGTGAAACTCTTACAGATGGTTCTCTCTCTGATGCTCTCAGAGCAGGGGCGTCCCTCTCTATCCTCAAGAATCTCTTGAATACTTCTAGAGCACCTCCTCTCCTAACATCTCTAACACCCTAACTAGCACTTACAGTGCACATACAGTGCACTCCTTCACTTTATCTCCTTCACTTTTTGAATAGATGTAGTACTTAGTGCTTACACCAAGGTCTCCTACTGCACTGAAGCTTTAGTAATGTCCCTCACTTGTAAGTTGCTTTGGATGAAAGCACCTGCCAAATGAGCAAATGTAAATGTAATATAAATGGAAATAAATGGAAACCCATACAACTACACAGCAGATCCTTCAACCAAGATATAACTTTAATTATCACTGTGAGCACAGACAGGACAGATAGTAAAAGTCAGCTCACTAATTCATCTGCAGTGTTTGTGTTGACATCAGTCTGATAAGTGCAGACAGCTGGTTAGTGAAGCATTCTCTCCCTAGTGGAGACGGACTGAATAAAGTAGAAGCCACACACTGTTGGACATCTACAGCCAGAGATAATATCTCATCAACATCAACTGTCCCTCTCTCGTTGCTGTGATCTCTGTATTCACTGAGAGATAGCCAGAGTCAGCTGACATCCTGTGTTATATTAAGTTATAAAGTAACATAGATGAGATGATAGCTGGATATATGAGTAGTCTTGAGTTATGACACACCTGTAAACTGTGACATAAATAATAACTGTCATTGTGTTTCAAGTACGGACCAGGCAGCTACAGTCTATGCAGAGTCACTGCAGTTTACAGTACATTGTACACATCACGCAGCAAGGTACAAATATAAAGGTTGATCTTAGATTTTTTTTTTTATTCAGCCCTATATGGATCTTGTTCTTCTTGAGAAGCGCTGAGGGGTTTTTAACGTTGACAGATCACTCTTAAATTCAATTTTAACTTTTGCAATGATCTGTTGGTTGGGAACCTCAGCATCATTGGCACTTTCCCTAGGAGCCAAATCAAATAGGTATTTGAGGTCATTTGTCCTGTCAGCTGTTGGGTTTTTAAACAAGTTGTTGCAAACCAAATTGCCCCTCTGAGAGAATAAAGACTTTCTAATCTATTCTATCCTAATCTCATATGTTAGAGATGCAGTAGATGAGAATATATTCACATTTGAGCCTTTGACCTCCTGTTTTGTTATACTGACAAATTGAAGATGGTGTCTGTAGTCAGATTAATTGTAATAACTGGTGGTAAATAATATTTAGTGTCATTCTGCATCAGTTAAGTGTTTCTCAAACATAAAATCACATTCCTTATGAATTCTGTTCCTTTCTGACACAAAAAGGATCTTTACTTCTTAATTTCCATCACCCATCACCCACACTCCAGCCACTGTCTGTCACTGCTGCCATTTGAAAATGTTGGACAATCTTTATGTGAGAGGGCAGTCATCTTTTCTGGATTAGAGCACTTTTGGCACCACACTGGCTAATAGGGACTGAAATGTGTTGTGTTAAAATTAACTATAATATCTCTAATCTCTCTCATCTGCCCAACAGGAGATGACAGCAGCTTTTGAGGGTGAGCTCAGACGGCAGGAACATGAGTTCAACTTGAAAATGGATGAGATGTGTGCTGTGGTGCTGTCTCATGAACTCAAGGTGAGGAGAGTTAAAGGACGATATCTCACTGTAAACACATGTAACAACATATAATGACGGCATAGTACTCATGGTATTGTATAGTCTTATTCTAAATCTAAATAATCTAAATAGATTAATGACAGAATGACACTAAATGACAGAGTCATGTTCAGTTTTCTTGTTGAACTCTTAATCTTTCCATAGCATAGTCTCTCACACCTAATTACTATTTGTTGCTGTGTGTGTGTGTGTGTGTGTGTGTGTGTGTGTGTGTGTGTGTGTGTGTGTGTGTGTGTGTGTGTGTGTGCATGCGTGCGTCCTTGGTAAGGTGAAGCTGCTGTCTAAAGAGACTGAAGTTCACTGTCAGGCTCAGCTTCAGGCGACAGAGACTCTCAGAGCACGTGAGGAGTTCTGTCAGCAGATACAGACCCAGCTGCAACTCAAAGACCAGGAGATCAAAGACCTCACTGATGTCAAGGACCACAGGTACTGTATGCACCTGTAATGTGTGTGTGTGTGTGTGTGTGTGTGTGTATCTACATGTGTTTGAGGTGTGCTGACTATCCTCTCTCTCAGGATAAAGGAGCTGGAGGATGAGGTGAACTGGATGGAGACCAAGTTGAAGAAGAAGGATTATGACAGCATTAACAAGTGAGTCATTAATAACACAAAGTCCTCTCAGTCAGGCAGTCAGAGCCAGCTGCTAGTATAGGCAGCTACTGTAGGAGCATGGAGACAGAAAGTGACAACAAATCTCTACATTTGCAATAGAAAGAAAAAAAAAAGGCATTTGAGTTATTGAGACTGAGTTGGTGTCATTTACACCTTATTTTCAGAATGTGTAAAGTTCTTTTTCAGTTAAATATCTGTAGCCAATAGCAGCAGGAATAAAAACGATGGAGCGACTGTGTCCAGACAACCATTATTTGCTCACGCCGAAGTTGTCATTCTCATGAGCAGAAACAGCTTCAAATTTGGCACAAACATTCACTTGGACTCAAGGAGGAAGTGATTAGATTTATGTGGTCAAAGGTTTCTGGCCATAACCCAAGACTTCATATACTAATTATGACAAAATACACTTGATACCTTTTATTAAATTCCTTCAAAGTTTACACGACATATACGAATGGATGTAAACTGAAACAAATAACCACGAGGAGGTGATTCTAGATGATTCTTTATCCACTAATTCCTTCCTTTGGTGAAAATTACATATAACCGCAGCTCACGTCTGAATATTGGACAAGACTAAACTCACCACTTTTCCAGCTCTTTGTATTTTGATGGGACATGGACAGCAGAGTTTATGTGAGACATTCACTGTGGCAACAGCAATAACAACAGGAACGCATCCAGCCAAAGGTGGAAAAGAAAACATCAGGGATGACGGGATGATGTTTGGAACAGGCTCCGAGCCAAAGTCCACCATTCACCTCAGCCCAGCATTGTACCTGCTGGAGTTCCGCCCTGGGAGAGCACCATCGATTGTCTTAGCATCAGATTCCAGCAGGAAATGGGAGGCTGTGCCATCCTCTATGTAACGTGGACACGCCTCATCCACCAGGTGCTGGATCGAGCCGTCCAACCATCAATGTCCTTTACTACTACTACTACTACTACTAATGATAATAATGATTATAATGATAATGATAAGACAGGGAGAGTGCTGGTAAGGCGTCTGCCTCGGGCCTCTGGCAGTCGGACAAATGAAAGTCTCCAACCTTCTTTAATTATTCAAATCTTCCAACACAGCAGGATCTGATGGTAATTGATCCTTTGTGCTTTTTTATGAGTATCCACACCGACACCAAGGATATATAGTGAGGTTATTTATATAACAGTTGACTATTTTTACTCCTAACCCCACTCCCTCTGGGTAGTTCCAATAAACTCTGTGCTGTCAGTAAGATCATTACAGAGAGTTCTCAGTTTATGTAAGTGGCCAAGCTGCTTTTCAGTAGTATTTACAAAAGAGGCATTATTTTGCAGTTGTAAATGTAGTTGATAACTGAATGGAGCCTTTTTAATCAGTTAAATTACAAAAAATAAATAGACAATAAACAGTAATAAGAAAACATATTTTAGATGAAGCCCTAATTCTTTTCTGAAAAAACTGTTCAGATCATGTAGCCACTGACAGAAGTTTCAGTCTCTTTGGAAATATAAATACAACATCATATCAAAAGCATAGTTTAATATTTGAATTGATATTCCAAACATTATTATACTGCTGTATATTAATCTTTGGGGTACTGTATATCACAGTTCTCTGCAGAAAGCCAGCTTGGTGTTACTGTTCAATGATTTCTGGAACCAAGTACAGACACACACGAGGGCAGGGAGGTGTGTGTGCAGTGCAGGTATTTTAATAACCACAAACAATGTCCAAAACTTACAGACAGGAAGAAGCACTGGCAAAAACCTCAGGAAACATGGACAGGAACCAAGAGGGAACATAAACAGGATACTTCCAGGCACATAGAGGAAAAAAAAAACTGAGGAATTGACCAAGGGTGAGGGGAACACAGAGACCAAAGAGTCTAGTAAGGGGTGAGACGCAGGTGAAACTCATCAGAGCGGGACTTACAATCACACAAAGACAGGGTGAAACTGTCAGACAGTTTGGTAGTTGGTTGGTTGAGTGTCATTTTTTGTCACTTTTTACGTCAGAGGAATAAGACGTATTGTAATAAATACACTAAACATCACTTCCACATGTGCTTGCTCCAGCTGCCGCCTCATGACAGCATGTAACCAGTGCATTTTGTTGGTAACTTCAAAAACCTGGTCACTTTGTTTCTTCTTCAGTGATGCCACGTTTGTCAAAATGGCCTGGTGTCTTCTGCCACATCACCAGCTGTGCAGTGTTTCATGGTGTTTCCGTTTAAAGGGTTCATACGGTTCAAAAAAAGAGTGTGTAACAGTCTCTACAAAACAAGTTTATTAATACTCTGCTCTACGTCTCACTACATGCACTAAAGTAGCAGCATTCCTAGTTATTAATACATGTAACCTTTTCACATACACACATGTATACTTGTGAGCACCTCAGAAAGGGAAAATATCTCTGTGACAGCAGTGTAATTCGATAAATCATAAAGGGGGCGGGTTTTGTATCTGTATTTTTTTTTGCTTGAGGGAGGAGGATTTCACTTTTTCCCATCCAGTGTATTTTATTGAATCCTTCTCTTATGATATTTATTGTGGAAAAAATGTAGAAATCAAATCATTAAATCAAAAAATTGGTTTCATGTTTCATTGGTTTCATCACAAAGGGGCGCAACAGCATGTTTTTGTTTTTTTTTTTAAATAAATCATTAAAACAGCTTTCAAAATAGACCATATTTGCTATACACATCCAGTGTATGTTACAGACTCAGCATGTCAAATATGATAGCAGAGGTGGAGCTCTGACAGTTTTCCAAAAATGTATCTATAAGGAATTCCTCCTAGGTTACAAATATGTGCTTCAAATGACACCAAAATTATTGCAGGATGTATCAATTTATAATTTGTTGTCAGTTATTACAATTCATTAAAAATGAGAAATAGATAAAGCCTTCATTTAATTTGTGGTCACCTGCTGCCTTCTGCTGGATAATTTGCATTTTTTCTGCATAAAAGCAGAATCAACCGTGCATAAAACTGCAAGATATCTAAATGCCTCTTAATATCTAACTGTATTACTGACTTTTGTCAAGATACAAGAATGCCGTCCAGGCTCTGAAGGAGTGTGACACACAACAGGAGGCTCAGCGTCAGGCCCACACAGAGCAGCTGCAGAAGGCTGAGAAACACATTGTCAAACTGCAGGAGAACGTGGAAGCTCTGACTGCACAGATACGCCGCATACAGGACGACCAGCAGGAGGCTGTGGAACAGAAAGATGAGACAATCCAGAGGTCAGACGGACACTGGTAGAAAAAAAGGACAAAAAAAGCAAATGTCGTCATATTAACATTAACTGGAGAACCTGTGTGTATGTGTGTGTGTTTTTTCAAAGGCTTCGCACAGAGGTAGAAACAACCCGGACTTGCTGGAACCAGTACATGAGTGATGTGTCCAGTGAGATGGTCGTCAAAGACACAGAGATGATCGCCCTGCAGGAGAGAGAAACCAAACTCAGGACTGAGCTGGAGAGGAGCAGGGAGGAGACGGAGAGGTGAGAGAAAGGGATATGATAAAAACATTAGTTCTGATTATGTAGCTTTGAAGATATGAGTTATACCACCTGATCTGTTGTTCTTCCTCTTTTATAAAATGTGTGTGTGTGTGTGTGTGTGTGTGTATTGTCAGGTACAAGCAGCAGCTGAGTGCTGGTTTAAAGAGAGAGCAGGCTTTAGAACAGATGCGTGTCCAGGTGGAGCTGGAGTGGCAGAGACGCTGTGAGGACATGAAGGCCGAACACTACCTTGCCAATGAGCAGCTAATACAAGACCTGACCCAAGCTAGAGATCAGGTCAGCCCCTCACTCACATTACACAACCCCACTCTACACAGTGTATGTAGCTCCACTGGTGCGCACCTGAACATTTTAATGTAATAATTTGACATGGAAGCAGGCATATTGCCTCATGGGACACAGCATGTGGTCAGGAAGTGTAGGCGAGTCTTAGACAGAGGTTGGGACACTGTACTGGTGCTGATGAGAGAGCGATGATACACAGTGAAGTGCACCGTCATAGTGTCAGTTGCTGTATCTGGCCTTGTGGGTGTTGCTCCTGCTGTCTTAAGAATCTGTGGTGCTCAGTCATTCACAATGACTGATACCAAATACACACACAGTGACTACGTATAGGTGCATAAACAAAACAAAAGCAACCTACAGCCATAATATACAAAAACACAGTGGCACATGTCTAGATCATCAAGTTCATCAATCATGACCTTTTTCTTGTTTTATCACCATATGGAAGTTTCTTGTTATAACAACAGGTTTTGAGAGTTCTGTGTTGTTATGACAAGAAAAGTTTCTTGTAATAACTTGATAATTTGTTTTCTAGTAATATGTCATCATAAGTATCTTATAAGGTGAAGAGGATCTTCACTATCAGATTGTGGCCAAAAAAATCTGATCAGGACAAATCAGGACATCCCTACAAACTCTTTTTCATTCCAAAAGTCAGTTTGCAGTGATGCATTATGTAATTATTTATATACATTTTTAGCTGCACTGATCAGGCTGTCATTAGATGTCTGTAATTGTGTAGTGTAAAGGTCAACTGAGGATTATTTTCTTTAGACAGAATCATTCTCAGTAAATTCAGCAGAATGTGTCAGTCAAGTGTTCATATCACTTCCCCTTAGTTACACAGTTCCCCTCAGATGCAAACAGGAAACAGTCATGTCGTGCTGCTGACACATAGTGTATCTTCCTCCTGACACCTGGGTGTGCCACAAGCCAGACCACACTGCTCTGACAGTGAAGTGCTCTTTATACTACTAGTGTTTCTGGAGTTTGTACCTCTTCAGCACACTTGTTTTACAACATTTGTGACTCCAGATGCAAACAGTGATTAACAGGGTCATTAAATCCGTCTGATGGTAAGCAAACAGCAGCCCTGCCACTCGTTTATAGTGCATGCTGCTGCAGTGAGTGCATTGATCTTTGCCTGTTTGCTGAGACAGAAATAGCAGCATCTTTGTCCTGCTTGGAAGGCCCAGGCTGATAATGTAATCAATAATGATACTAACACAGGTTTAATGATGGTCTCTGTCAGGCAACAGCAGAGCTGAAGGAGAAAGAAGAAGAGCTGCAGGACCTGACTGTGTTACTACGATCTGTTAAAACAGAGAGAGACCAGGCGATGCAGGTGAGGATGCATCCACCTTCCACTGTGCATTAATAAGCGCTACCAGATGAGCCATAGGGGTTTTGGGCTCTGTGTATCTTTTGTCTTTGTTTATAGATTTAAATAATGAAACTACTAATGAAACTTTTTTTGTGTAACATGTGTTCCACCATACACTGTGACTGCAGGCGGTGTCTTTTAATGGGTGTTACTTCATACAAGTGGTCGTTGCCATGAATGTAATTTGGTCTGGTTGAACGAAAGTACCTGAGAATATTTAAATGCTGCATGTTTTTGGTCAATTTCCAGGCGCAGAGTTGTTAAATCTTGCTCGTAAACACTGTCTCACGTCTCACGCTGCCCAAACGAATCTCACGGCAAATAAGAAGCCTGAAAATATAGAGTTACATAGGGAGAACAGGCTTTTTGAACATCAGGCTGTTTTGTTTTTTCACTTTGAGCCTTAGTTCCATAATCATCTCCTGATGGCCACACTGCCGTTCAGAATATTGTTGTGTGTGAAAACACAAAACATCAGAGAGAGACAGAGAAGAGGAGAGAGAGAAAGCAAGAGAGAGAGCGATAGATGTGGCTATGTTGTGGTGATCAGGCTACGCGGCTCACTGCAGTTCTGTCTCGTGTCCCTCCACCTACGCTCAGTTCCAAACCCGTGTTTGTATGTGTTTTTTAAATGAGTTTTTGGGAATATTTATGCCTTTGTTTGACAATGACATTGAGGACAGACAGGAAACGTGGGGAAAGTGAGGAGGGGTATGACGTCCAACAAGTGGTCCAGCTGGCTTGGAGTGTGATGACTCACTGCTCTGAGAATTAATACCCATGTGGTATGCGCCATAAGCACTTAGCTATCAGGTCACCCCATGTGTTTGTATATTAAATGTGTTTATATCTTAATCATGGTTTAAATATTGAGACAAGCAGTGGACTGTAGCTGACTCACTAAACATGAATGACAAAGTTATGCAGTGATATAAAAAACATAAAGGTGAGGCTCTGAGAAAAAAAGTTAACCACTAACATGTAGTTATAGAGAGGAAAGTAACCATTTCAAAGCAACACACTTCTCATATATGTCGAGTTTTGCCTCATTCTCTTTGCTTCTACATTTCTTTTCTGAATCACTACCCAGTATTCCCAGTACAGTGAAACTTCCATTTTTTTCCATTTAATGACCTTTCCTCTTAAAATATCCTCATGCCAAGATGTCACCTTGGTGTTACTATCTACTGTGCCATCTCAGTTTATTGCAGAGGATAGACCAGTTCTGTGTTTCCAGCAATGATCCCTGTTAGTAGCCAAGCTTCCGCCGCAGTTTTGCTCAACATAGAAGTGAAATAGTTTTAGAAAAGTTGACAAAACACAATTGTGAATGGTTTGTGTTTCCACTGAGTGATGTTGTTTGAATAAAGCTGTTTTCTCGTGGGATATCATTCCAATTAAACATGATGAGCGATTTCCAGCATGTCGCTGCAGGCGCCATGACTTGAATGCGATAAAAGTGATTCCCTTTCAATTTTGTGAAATATTGCTTTGTCAAATTGTCTGAAAAACCACCTCATGCAAGTGTCTAAATTTTTTTTGCGACATTCACGTTTCCATGACTGGTTTTTAAATTCGCAATTTCAAATTGCATATTAAGCAGGTTAATGGAAACATACCTGAAATACCAAGTGCTGTTCCCTGAACGCATCTCCCATACAGGGCATACTACTGACTGAGTGGAAATCTACACCTGTTAATGTCCCATTCCCCTGCTCTGTAGCTTTACTTATTATGATGCAGGCACTAAGAAGTTCCTTCAGCCACTGCAGATTGTCTTTCCTTGAGGAGCAGTGCCAGTTTTGGCACTATTTTCTCCTTGCTTCCATGATCTCAGTATTGTGGAGCACATGTTACACCTCACTGCGTAATGGTTACTTATGTGCAAATGATCTTTCTCGTAGTGTTTTATCAGACAATATGGATGACCCTTGAGGCAATGCTTGGCAGGTTTTATTCTCATCCTCAGGGTTAACTAACCTCTTACAGACCCCCTACATACACCCATATGTCACATGGGGGTATTGTATGTTCAATCCAGCTCATGCCACATAGTTCTCCAAGAGAGCATTTAGAGATGTCCCGTGTTTTGGCCTTTGGCCTTTTCCTCGAGCATCCTGAGAGGTATGGTGGCCTTTCGGTCTGGCTCGGTGGCTCCCCGACATACCAGCCTGTGTGAGCTCCACTGGCACCAGGAGGAAAAACACATGGAGGTTCTGTACATGTAAACCTTCTCAAGTGACTCACAGAGCACTCCAGCTAAATACTTGGAATGAAGCTCCACATAGCAAGGCGTGAAGTATTTGTTGACCTATTATCTAAAGACATTAGCCTGCACATTTCAGCTTTCTCTGAGAGTGTTTGAACATTATGGCTGCCATGTTTAATCTATGATGTTACAGCTAATCCACCACTTATTTCAGTAAGAACAGAACTAAAGTGACTTGTTTACAAACGTCATATACAGATGAGCTCACAGCTGGTCTTTCTGCAGACTGTGCAGATGACAGAAAAAGCCAAAGAAATGTAATCTACTCTTCATCCTGAGCAGATCTTGACTTCATCTCTCACTTCATGTCATATAGTCAGTATGAAAACTGTCTGTAAGAGCAAGCAGAACTTTCAGCACAGTGACACAACAAGCTGTAGACTCACACTCATATCAGAATGTAACATCACATGGAAATGTCTCCAGTGCTAAAGTTCCCACAGGACTAAAATCATCTATGGTACAGTCCTAGCTGACTAGACAGCATCAGTTACCCCCGGTGGGTACTCTGACTCTGCTGACTCAGCTGTTGCACCATGGTGCAACCAGTTGTCTGCGTGCAACTGTTTCTGTAACATAAAAAATTAGTAGGCAGGAAACAGATCAGATCACCAAAAATATCATTGGAAAACATTTGGTTGTTCATTTTGGCACTTAACTACTTTACAACATCTTCCTGTGCAGCAATTTGGAACGACTATAAACTCATTTGAAAGAAACGTAATAAATGAGCTAACTGGCTCAGGTAAAGTGATTTTTATAATGCTCTCATAATGCCCCAGATGTTACCACCTGTATTGGTGCGTTCCTTTAGTAAACACACAGATAGATACAGTCTGGCTGTTTAGTGCCTGAAAAAGGGGCTGCAAATATGTGGTAAATGTCCTCCAATACATGCAGTACTCACAGTAAAGCAGAAGAGAAATGATACAGAAAGATGAAGATACATACAGTACACTACTCTGTTCACATGAGTGTGTGTTTATCTACACACAGGGTCTCACACCAAAGGTAGACTCTCTGGCATCAGAAGAGATCCGTCGTCTGCAGGAGCAGAACAACATCCTGCGGGCTGTGGTCACCCAGATGAGGAAAGACATGGAGGGTCTCAGCCATCCCCCACCCCCTCCCCAGGCCCAGCCACAGACCTCCGCTCCTCAGCTAGTTCAGCATCCAGGAGCCGCTGCAGCCACCTCCATCACCCCTACAGCTGACACTCAGATGACCACTGGACCACCTCCCCAATCCACTGACATCTCCTCCAAAGTCAGCCCAGCAGGTGTGGACCAGTATTTCTCTACTACACAAACATGGTTGATGCAGTCATTACTGTTTTTACTGTGGCAAGCTACACTTATCTTTTTATTGTTTAGCACCAGCAGCTACTTTCACAAAAACAGACTTTGTGTTTTTTTTCAAACTAATAACCAGACTTCAGATAGACATGTAAATCCATCAGTTGCACAAAGGTGTCCAGTTTTCAATCACCTTAAAGGTTTTATATGTAACCTTCAGAAAACCCTTGTTAATAATGACACTGGTGGCTGTTAAGTGAACTTTACAGTTTACATGAATGAATGTGATATTTACCCATAATTATGATGATATGGACCTTTTCAGATATTTCTTCGGAGAGGTGTGTTAGAATTTGGTGTGTGTGTTTTCCATGCCAATTATTAAGGATTTGCCAAAACTGAATCATGACTGGACATGAATAGAAGAGATGTTCAACAGTTTCAGGTTCTTCAAGACAAAGATGTGTCAACCTAAAATACAAATCTCTTAAACGTTTCTTTGTTAAAAACTATTATTTAGGCCAAGAATAAAGACTAACACAGATTCTGTGTGTACTATAGAGCAAACAACAAGACAGCAAACTGTGGCTACAGTTGCTGCTGCAAAGCTAATAAGCAAAGAAGACGAGACGGTTTCCCATAGGCAGCAAAACTCACAACAGCTAACATCACAACAACAGCAAAACTTGGCAAACACACAAATATGACACTGGTACCTGCTTGCTAACTAGCCAGCTGGGATCAACTGTCACAAACATTAGCGGACGGGACAAAACCAAACAGCAATCTCTGAGGCTGAAAAACTGTTTTGGCCTCTACATCTAATTTCCTCCTTCATGACAGCTGTACGGGGGGAGAATGTTTATATAACTTGCTGGTTTACATTTTTATTAAGGCTTAAAGTTATGTATAATTGAGGGCTCCTTGCCCATTTTTGGATTAGCCGGCAGTTGGGGGCGGTATAAGGTACTGGCAAGAGGGCGACGGCAGAGCAGCTCACCCTGAGCTTCAAAACCACTCTTTAGAAACCTGTGAGTGACATCACAGGAACTACAACCATCTTTGTTTACAGTCTATAGACTAAAAACACTACAGACCTATTGGCTCTATGAAACATATCAAAACTAATGTCACTGACCTGTCTTGCAGAAACACAGCAACCTCCCCATCTGTCTTCCTGCCTCTCAGCTTTCAGAGGTCTCTCACGGATGTTAACACAGCTCTTTTCAAAGTGTCTTCTTCTGACCTTCTGCTCATTGGCTGTTTCTCAGCCGTTACGCCTTCTTGATAATGCAATTATGTTGTGGAGCATATGCCGCTGTCACGCCTCCACCGGTAGATGTTGCGTCCATGCACTTGCCTTAACTCCACTGCTGGTCTCTCTGCCAGTCTATCTGCTGGTGTATCATCTGCAATCTCATCCCATTCCACATGGTCTGGTGGTGACAGAGGGGTAGATTGCTCCTTCTCTTCCCCTGGAAATCCTTAAATTGGCACTATCCATTAGCATGTGTCAGATTTACCGTCTCTCGCTCGCACTGCCCCCATTACCCCATCTCCCCTCTTCTCGTCTCCTTACCCTTGTTCTGTGCGTGAGCACGAACACCCCCTGCTGCTGATTGGCTGGAATAATGCTGTGTGACTCAGTCTGAGCCACTTTGTTTGTTTCTCATTTACAGAGCCAGGGCTGTGGAGGTACGCTGGATTTTGTTTCAGCACATTGACACACAGAACAAAAAGCTAGTGGACCATGAGGAGATATTCACTGAATCAAAGTGTATTGGATTAGAATCACTTACTCTATCTTTAAGTAGCTTCACCACAACCAATGCTGATGTATCTTTCATTATGATGCATTATGTTATATTGAGCAAGTTTCAGGTGTCTGTGAGTTGAAAATTGAATTGATTTGTGTGTTGAAAATTGATCTGTGAGTTGAAAATTGAGCTGATTCATTGAAAAATGGCTGCTGGAAAGAAGAAAGGATTTATTGGACTGTGGAATAAAACCAGTGGAATGGTTCTTTAAACTGTCACCTGGTATCATGCCCATACTCAGCTGGTAAAACATGGCTGCTGTTCTCTAACACATATTGGTCCAAAAGACAGACATAGTTTAACATATAATTCACCTAATGAGTGAAATCCTTATATCAGTTGGAATGATGTATATGTTTTTATTTGTCTTCATTTGTCATTTTTCCTCAGGTGGTCAGTTTGCAGAGAAACGTCCTGAAAGCTCTGTTGTGAGGAAGCAGGAGGACAGAGTGACACACACAGAATCTGCTCTCGCCAACATCATGGAACAGGTACTGAAGGAATCAGGAAACTGGTTGAAGTTGATCAGTTCCATCCAGGTAAGTGTCTGGACCAGATGTGTCCATGGAAACAAGTTTGTTTAGAGCTGACTGCGGGACAGTCAAAAGAGGGCAGGATAATTTCCTTTATTGTATCCCAGCCCTCCATAACCTTGCTCCAGTTAGAGATTGTCTATTAAAAGGTCAACTCACCAGTCGGTTGTTGGGAAGGTATTGTGTTAGCTGCTGCAGCAAACCAGCTTCCTCAAGTCTCATTTTGTCCTCCTCCCAGAGTGCACTGGTGCAACAGCTCCAACAGGAGAACCTGTATTTGAAGCAGAGACAGGCCTCAGGTCAGTGTCAGAACGTCCAGGGTGCGAGAAGCCACCCTCCTGTCGTGCACACCAGGCTGAAGCAGGCAGCGTCCTGTATCGCCCATCTGAGCAGAGACAAACAGCAGCTGATAGAGATGTGCAACCGCCTTCGTGCTCAGATCAGCACAGCTGGACTACAGGGTACAATAACAGACACACACACATACACACAGTGATGTTAACACCGTGTGTAATTAAAGGGACAACATCAGTAGGTATAGTAACTGACTAGATAATAAGTTACTAATCCAATTCAATTCTGTGCTCCATTATTATTGTGTTCAATTATTCCAGCCAGACTGAACCGCAGCAGTCCATCATGACTGACACACTGAGCCTTTAAACCAGCAAAAGATCAGATAACACATCGCAGTTTATCACACACTAAAGAATTGAACTGGTTAAAATCCTGAGGCCATCCCTGAAACCTTTTTGAACAATTCTCCAGCTGAAATATACAATTTAAAAAAACATGGTTTAATGTTGTAGTTCAGTTACTGGGGCACCAAGTTGTCAGTTTATTAAGAACACCTAGCTAAATTCAATGCTAATCAATTCAACCACTGCAGTAAAACCTCCATCTGTCAAGTTTAAAATGTTTAGTTTCTGTTGACACTGTAGCAGAGATACACTGATTCAAACCTATTGTCATTTTTGAGGCTGTAGTTTCAGGTGCTGGTGATGTTTATTGGATGTTAATTTCTAATATTTTGCCATCACCATTTATTTATATTTTCCTATAGGGTGCTTTCCTTTCAGCAGACATGGCTCCTCGCTTCACTCATGTCTCCTCCTTACATCTTACCTCCTCAGCAAGTTAGTCATGACACACAGTCAAGTCAAATTTTATTTAAAGTTATAATATGTAACTTTTTTCCACATTATCCCAAATGTCCCAGCAGTTTTCAAATCTAGAGAAATCAGTGATTTTAACAGTCCGTGTCATTTGCTTGCCTGGCAATGACGTCCGTGTTGTTGTTGCCTGCCAGAATGAATTTGACTTTATATCCAGTTTTAAGCCACATTTTTTAGATACATCTTTTTAGATCTTGATCGTTTTTAACTATGTATTTTAACCGGATGTAGAATTTTAGTCACCAGTCGTTAGTCATTGTTTCTCTGACAAATTATCAGAGAAACAAGCTGAGGAAACGTTATAGCATTCTCAGCTCCCAGCCCTTCTTAATTCAGCTCCTGTTAAAAACCTTCTGAAGAAGAAATCCAAACCAGGAGAAGATGACAGCAATGACAGCAATGCTGGTGAAGACAACAACTCCCATGATCACACACTTCATCATCTATTGCCGTCTATTGTCATGTTTTGACTGAGAAACCCCTAGAGGGTGAAAATTACATACCCTGTGTGTAATATCAATATCATTGATGATGGCAGACGTCGATCAGTTTCTGGGTCACCGACCGATGTGTGGAGGACAGTAGGAAGCATAATAAGCAGAATGGAAAGCACCCAAAGACCCCTAAAGCACTGTGTGTCTAACAGAACCAGTGGAGCCAGAGAAGGACGCCTCCACAGAGAAACAAGGAGACCAACATGACCGGCTGTCTGCTCTGGAGCAGCTGCAGTACCAGCTCACCACACAGGTACCTGCTCCAACTCAAGTTCCTTTACAGGTTCTTCTTCATCACACTTATCTTTTCATATTGTACCACTTCAGATTTACCAAGTGAGGTCGTCACTAGGAAAGAAGCTTCACTTTAAGTACAACAGCACGGGAGCAGTTGTCATTACACACAACCGTTATGTATGCCATTTATAGTGCTAGTGCCATTAATCAATCACACGTATCTGTTTACATCAGCACTGTTATATCTCAGTCATCGTTAATAAACATCAGACAGTTGGTCAAAGATTCATTTATAAAGCTCATATTGAAACAGACTTTACAAAGGAGGCTACTTCATGTGTTTGTACACCTGGTCTGAAGTAAGTGTGAGGTGCACACATTCTTTTCTAAATACCCGGTTATGTGAGGAAAATGGTGTGTATCAGCTGTTTCCAGTCTAATCACTGGCTGTATGTTTAACACAGACATGAGATTCATATCAATCTTCTCATCTCACCCTTGGTAAGAAAGTGAATAAGTGTATTTTCCTAAATGTTTTAACTATTTGTTTAAGCTGGAACAGTCCTGATATTAGAATCAGTTAGAGTGAGTTATAGTCTCAGTATGTCCAGCAGGGGGGGGTAACCATCAACCATTAATGTGCTGTGCCCTTCAAGGAAAGCAGGTGCAACACTGGCAGGTGAAAAGAGGCAGCAGGTGACACTGTGTGTCATAGAGCAGAAGGACAATCAGAAAAGAGCCACTAATAACTCTGTCTGAAAGAACCTGGTGCTGAGTATGTGTTTTACCAGCAGAGAGCACAGTGGCTCCACTAATGGACTTGTGTCCACAGGAGCTGCAGTACGCTCTGAGGCAGAGGCTCTGCACTGTTTCTGAACAGCTCCTCCCTGAAGCCGACAACCAAGGTCCTGCTACAAGAGGGGCTGCCAACCCCTGGTCCCAGGGTCACAAAACCACAGACAGGCCTGAGGTAACAGCAGAGTCTTCATTACTGCATTCATTAATAAGAAATGACTTGGCTGTACAGTTTACTCCTCATATTGAATGGTTATCTGTTGGTGAAAATCAAGTACTATTAAAATGTACTTGAAAGTAAACAAACTATAAAAAAATTAGTGCAACAAACTTCATGTTTAGTTTTCTCTACAACTTTAACACACCCTTTGAGTAAAACATCTTTAAATGAACTCTGTCCTGCTCTCTTCTTCTTCAGAGCGCCAGGAACAAAGAGAACACTCCTCCGCTCAGCCGGTCACAGAGCTCAGTGGATGCGGGTCTGCAGCCCCGCTCAGGTCTGTCCAGGTCTCTGTTGTCATCAGAGGAATCACTGCGATCGCTGAAGGAGCTGTGGGAGAAACTAGACAATGCACTCAGTCCATCTGTTTTCTCAGAAGGTAGCCACACCAGAATAACTTTTGTTAAAAATTAAATAGGTTTATTTGGGGCTTTCATGTTCCTAAAAATCATTATGAGTCATAATGTTTTTTTGGTATCTTACTTCAGAAGAACAGCAGGTTTACACCAGACATGAGCAGAGCAGCGTATGTGCTTTACTCCAGGGTTTGTCATCTAAAGGTTGAAAATGATTCTCCACCTGTGTGTTGGGGTCAAACATTTGCTGTCACTGAAGCCACCAAGTAATGTTTCTCGAGTCTGTTCTATGTAACAACTGCATATCATCATATCATATCATATCATATCATATCATATCATATCATATCATATCATATCATATCATATCAACATTAAATAATAACTTGAAATAAAATATATTGCAATGCTAAAGTGAGATCAGATGCTTACCTATTTTGTAAGTGGTCCAGGATGGATTTGTGATAACAGTATGTGCTGAAGCATGAACACTCAGAATGTCACCTCCCTCCTGTAATTTATTTACAACCTTCTAACTGTCTCCCAACTGTCTAACTCATCACCATCGTGTTGTTTTATGTGTAAATAATGTTACATCCTGTGGTGTGAGGGTCTTGCTCAACAGCACCTTAGTTAGTGGTGATAATGATAACTAATCAAACCAGTGAATGTCACAGGCATCAACACACATGAACGACTTAAAACGCTCCTTAACACTTGATTTCACTTTTTTTTTTTTTATTACAATATGTCTTGCGTTAGTAAATTTTATGAACAAAACTGACACCAAAATAACACAAACAACAAACAAAAAGAATGATATGCAATCAAAATCATAGTGCAATTATTTTGGCAGATACTGTGATTGCAAAATGAGTCACAATTTCCATTAGAGTTGTCTCTTTGTATTTCATTTTCATAGGAAAAAATATAAAAATGATGAAGATGTGATTTTTGTTGGGTTTTGTACCAAACAAACACGTTCCTACTAATAGGGTTTGTAGGCTGCAGCATCTAATATTTCTAATGGATCTACTACTAAAAGATATGGTTTTAATTACATCATAGGCTGGTTACTACATTACTTGCTGTTCTGTCATATAATGGAGGAAACGAGAATATAATGTAGGAGGGCCTTAAGTAGAAAATGATGTTTATGGTCAAAAGGGTAATCCTATACACACTGTACAGAGGCCTAATAAATATGATTTATATGTCACAGACCGGCAGAGATTGATGTTCTCGAAAATGTTAATAACACATCAGACCCTCTGCTGAGGGTCTGATGTGTTATTAACATTTTCGTGCTCATATAAAGGAGAAGTTGAGCTGTGTAGAAGAAGACCATGCACAGATCTTGCAGAAATGACCAGTACAGGTAGTTGGGTTACAGTTGGGCTGTCTGCTTCGACCATTTGGGTTGACAGGAGAGAAATGGGGGAGAGAGGAGAAAGAGGGGGGAGAGAAAAGTGAGGGACAAGGAACAGCTGTACATACTCTCAGAACATGAGTCTGGTGGGGGGATATGTGGAGTCAGGGCTTCTTATGTCTCAGTTTTTCTATAGAGGATCATAAAGACCCTGTGGACCCGTCCTGAAATACATCAAGTCCTCATATAACTGTGGACTGTAAACAGGGATTTAATAAGTGTGTCAGCAGTCAGTAATACCATCACACGAGTGGGCATAGTCCTCTGTGTTACCGACAGTACGGCTGCAACCCCTGCACCCAGTGTGAACACCAGTGCAGTGGCTGGATCAGTGAAGGACAGATGGCATGGCTGTTGCCCAATGTGTGGTCTCTGTCAGCTCTCCAGAGACCAGTTTCTCAACCGGAGCGGCCGCCAGATCAGGCTGAGACGCAGTGATCAGCATCATACCATCCACTAATTGTGAAACAAAACCAAAGTGGCACAAGGTTACAGTACATATCTGATAACTGCACAGATGGGGTCAAAAAGTTTATCAAAGATATAAACAGTTGAGTGAGTAAAGATTAGATAAAGTTCCTCTTTTTTTCATTGTGAGCAAGGAGGCACTGTGAAGTCGCAATGTGAGGGAGGAGCAAGAGAGGAGGTGTTGAGAAATGTTAAATCCGATTCTTCATCTTTATTTGCATCAAAGGCAATGCTGAGTTCATGTGCTAGATTGTTTTATTCAAGTCCATGCAGCAGTTTATGTGATGATTAGAAAGCACCGAAACACAGTTCTGGATCCAGGCCTCCAGCTTTCTTTGAAACAACAAGGAAATTTAGTTAGCCTGGATGCTTCCTGCCACAGCTTCATCTTTATTTTAATTTACATGACTCTGCTATTAAAACAAATCTAATTACAATAAATCTAATATTCCACATCCACATTCTTCTTTTAAGACACATTTCCTTAAAGTTCCCCTCAAAAGTTTGGTATCTCTCTTTCTCTCTCTCTCTCTATGCTTGTGTCTGAGCTGCTCTCGTCATCCCACCACTAAGTTCTTGGGACAAACGGTAAACCTCAGGCTCTGCCTGTTGTCTAGAGATGTAGAGGAGGAGTTTATATATTTTCCTGAAAGCCTGTGTCATGGAGAACTGTGCTCTCTCTGTCCACTGTGATGAATGGCCTCCTTCCTTGACTATTATTACTTTACTTTTATTGTGAACAAGCAAAAGTGAGATACAATAAATTCCTGCAGTGCCTGAGCTCAGTGAGGTAGATATTCCACATGTTGACGTGTCCTCGACAAAGACACGAAACCCCAGCTTGCAACAGCAACAAAATGTAAGTTGCTTTGGACAAAAGTGTAACAATAGAAACCGTTGTTCTGCTGACTCTTGGTTAAATTACTTACTATGGTGACTTCCAGCGAAACTCTGGATGAATTAAGTCTAGTTCTATATGTGATTCTGTTGTGGCAGTGGCACACCAAAACCAGTAACGGTAATGTTTATCTGTTTGAAAGATCTAAATAGTTTAAATGCCACTGATGGTCTCATACCTCAGACCACTGTCCCACTTGGACACTTGGAGCCACAAATTTGAACCTAAATTTGGTTAAAGACACCAGCAAATGAAAAAGTGCCATTTAAATAGCACCTGTCTTGTCTCTCTCTTGTCTCTCTCTTGTGCACTCAAAGGTCCAGCTGAGTCTGATGGTGCTGGAGTCCAGATAATGGTGCACGGTATCAGTGCTCCCATTCATAGCCAGTCCCAAACTGAAGTCCAGCAGAGGATGAACCCCTCTAAAACACCATCACACACTACCAAGACCAGCAGACCTGGAGCCCCTGGAAAGATGAGTAAGATCCGAAACTACAATGTAAAAGACTGACACACACATGTAGGACAGTCTGTCAGTGTACTGGTCGTGTCCCACTCAGCCTGTGACAACTGTTCAAACCTTCTGTGGCTCTGGAGGAGCTTTGTTAAGTCTGATGACATCAGGGTTATCTCAGCCACATAACAGAAAGTCTGCATTACAAGCTAGAGGCGTGGAGTTAGAAAAAGGGGGTTCTAATGAAAACACTGTTTTATTGAATGTTTTTTATTGAAGATGGATCCATGCTATGAACTAGAGTTGCTCTGGTACCAGTACTAGTATCAGAAATGCCTCAGATACTGCCTAAAATACTGGAATGGGTATTGGCCAGTACATGAGTCTATGCACCGATCTGATTCTACGTAATTTATTAATAAACTTTACAGTTTCACACCCAGATAAAATGGCAGTTTTCCAGGAAATCAATTCTTCTTCACTGCTGTTTAGCCAAAGGCAACTACCGTTTTAGAGTGGTCAATAGTGTAACGTTCCACCAATAAAAGGGCAATGTGTAAAGTATGCAAGGCTTTAATTTGAAGGGGCAGTACTAGTGTTAGGACAACTAGTGTAGGATGTGTTATTTAATCCTAAATTCATTTTTTAATGACTGACAGTTGAATTAGATAATAAAAGAAAGATTCTATGGCATTCATGTATCCAATCATGTTTTACAAAGCGTTTAACCTGAGCCATACAACAATGACAGCAATCATATCACATCCACACAGGGTCAGTAGCATACAGCTGTTAAAAATATTTTTAACACAATTGTTTTGGATCAGTACTCGATATTGGCCGATGCATAAGTTCAAGTGTCGGAATTGGGTTGGAAAAAATGGTATTGGAACATCTCTACAAGGAACTGAAAGTCAGGATGTCTTGATTTGTAACATTATTTCATAAGTTTTCATGTAATTACAGCTTCCTCTAAATGATCGTGAAGTGCCTAAAGAGAAATGCACTCCAAATTAAGAAATGCTACAAACAGAAAAACACTAAATTCTTAATTATATTTTCAGAGTATCAGAGCTCATGTGTCTGAGCAGTTAAAGACCACAATAAATAGGCTTTATTGTCTATAATTCTATTTTTAAATGTATTTTTCAAGGCCATTTTGTATGTTTCATTGCCCTGTAATAACAGCTCCAACATTTATTATTCAAATTGTCTTGTTTCATTGATTGAACTCAGTGGCTACACATGCAAATCTGACTGTGACTCATCAGAGAAAAGATGCTAATGTTGCCCACAAAGTCCAGTAAAGTTGCTAATGCAGCCTTGACTAAAGATATGGTGCCTGGGCAGCTCATGGTTAAAGCACAGACCATGGAGTGCAGCTTTGTTGGATGTCATCTTCAATCTCTCTCCTCACTCATTTCCTGTCATCTCATATGAAAGCCTACAGACGATGAAAGCTCTGAGAGAGCACAAACCAGGAACGAGCTAGGAACTATAACAGAATAAGAAAGTCAAACCAAATTTCTCTGAGATCAGTGGTTAAAGAAGACATTCACTCAGTCAGCTTGGCATTCAAAGAACTAACTTTTGCGGTGATAAATCGACCAACAGAGTTTTAGAAACATTCTGTTAAAGGGTTTTTACCCTCAACAGTAAGAAGAAAATATGTTTTTAAGGAATTTAGAATTAAAAAGTTTAAGAAAATATGGAAAAGATATGTTTAATTTCCACTTCCTTCTAAAATAAATGAGGTTAATTTATTTTAAATTTTTAAATGAGATTTATCCAACAAACTAATTCTTAAGACTGAGATTAGATTTTGATGTGAATACCTGTGTTTTTTGTGAAAGGGAAATTGAATGTTTGGAACATTTTTCCACTAGGAAACAATGTCCTGTTTTACTGGAGTGATGTGGAGCTGTCACCCTTCACTATGAAGACAGTCACTTTTGGTGTTTTTGTTGAAAACAGGAATTTGGACTTTGGAATCATCTTGTTACTGGGAACTTACTTTTTTATTCATGAATATAGTTTTTAAAGACTAAAGTCAATTAAGAAGAATGTGTTAAAACTTCTGAAGAACTGTAACTTGTTAAAGAAGAAAGGTCTTACATTGTTTTCATTACTAGATGTGTTCAAGTTCATTCGAGGTAAGACACACCTACTACCTGAGCCTCGGGTTGGAGAGGCTGGACCCGGAGCCTACAGGTGGATGTGGATGGAGATGGAGATGGGGCCCTTAAAATGTTGACAGCAGTAGTAGCAGCAAGTAGCAGCATCATTTGCATGAGCAGTTAGTCAGCAGGCATGCAGCTACAGAATGAGCACAACACTGAGACTTAAATACACCGCCATGATTAAGAGGGTGCGTTGGTTGTGTGTTGCAGTGATAGGAGCATGTCATGTGAATGTAGCAGCAGACTCCTGCTAAGCTGCCTGAACTAGCAGGTCCCTTCATATCTGTGATTTAGCATTCTGGCTAATTTACTTTTATTAAACAATATGGGCTATGAACTTAATTTATATTAAATATATTAATTGAAATTAATTTCTATAAAATATGTTCTAAAAATATATTTAGTGAACAATATGTGCTATAAGATTTATTTCTACTAAAAAATATGGGCTATGAAATTTCATTTATCATAAAAAAAAATGCATTTATCAATTATGTATTTATTATTATTAAATTAATATCCATAAAGCAACCGTTTAAACTGAAATCTTGTACTTGCTGCCCATCACTGTTTGTCAAACAGTCTATAAATAAAGCTTCCTGTCTGCTTCAGCTATTGATCACAGGATCACCGTGTGCTTTTACAGCCCGTTATCACTGCACTACAACAGTAGGTCAGCGATATGAAGAAAACCCCTGTTTCCTCAGCACATCATGCTATGTGAAATTATGAACTCCAGTAACCCCAAGAAGTCAGACGAGCTTTCCTGGCTACGTCATCATCGGGGCCCCGCCCTTTAATCACCCTATCTCGCAACAGCACCCTCCCATCGCTCCTGATTGGATTAAACCTCACACCCCCGCCCCGCGATTGGCTGATTCACATGCTATCCAGGATGCTTAGATGTGTGTACCCACGTGTGCCGAAACCGGTTTACACTTTCACATTCACTGTGAAGCTAAATGCTAAACATGAACTTGACGGTCCACAGGCTGGGTGAGAATGGGAAGAGACGAAGTAATGCTTGACTAAGTTGTAGTCCTTAAATTGTCAAAACACAGTCGCTGATGTGTGTCAATAAAACACAATATTATTGAATTCCACATTATTAGTTATTCGTAAATATTCATAACAGGACTGGACATAAAGGAAATACTTTATTAAACATTACAAAATAAAATGGTACTGATGTCCAGTGGACTACATTAGTGCTAAACCATCCATCCATACATGCAGGGTTCAGGGTGCTGCACCCGGGGGAGAACACACCTGGACCGAAGCATACTCACGTTCATACCTGTCTACGGTTAATTTGACACAATCAAAAAGACATATCATAAAAGGTAGAGCTGGGTTGTTACGATCCAGTTGCAACTACTTTAAGGAAAAGATATCAGTTGTGTGTAGTCAAATATCTTCACACTTTCTTTCTCCATCTTGAAGAGAAACGAACACTTTTCTCGTCATTTTGTCGTCTGATGCTGCATCCAGCAGTCTGGTCGTCCGGCGGGGTGTGGGGCAGGGATGGGGATGGGGATGGGGGGGGCGACGGGTAAGAGGAGAGTGAGTTTGAACTCCAGTAACCCCATCTCAACATTAAATTTTTTTTTCTCTCCGTGACTACGGGGGCGTTCAACGAATTACTCCATCACTGGCTGGATCCGAGAGCCCTGCCTCTTTTCTCATTGGACTGCGCGGCCAAGCCAAGCTGTCAGCCCATGTGGCGTGGCCAGACAGAATGTGAGACATTTAAATTCATCAGAGAAAAAAGATTCACTGGAGCACCGAGCCCAACGTTAACCTTACAGAGGCAGCCTTTCCTTCCTCCACCCGCACTCACAGTGAGAGGAGCACTGCCGTGGACCATCGTAGTGCAGCTAACTAACGGAGCTAACGGAGAGACTACATGACATACAGGCGCTAACGTTTCACCAAGCGGCTCGAGTTAGTGACTGTTTTTTTCGGGGACAACATACAGAGGTAAGTTGGCTAACGGTTATTAGCTTAGCGTCCTCACTGCCATTATGCGTGACTGTATCTTTTATCTGGAGACAGGACAGAAAGCATATGCTAAGTTTAACGCTGTAAAACCTGTAATGTTCATTGCTAACTGCTATTAATACCGGATTGTGACTGTGTTACATTAAAATAAGAAACCCCTCCTTTAATTAACGGTATGACTAGACATTTTTGCTTTATTTAGCTAACTTCGATATTACGCTTGTAAGCTACATATCACCACGCAGCTTTTATTTCCTTTACTTGAAACTTAAACTTCATTGTTTGTTTTCTTCCTCTTGATGGAGATAATAGATTCTGGTGGATCATATTCAAGCCCAAATTAATAATTATCCTACATTTTATTCTATTTATTCTATTATTCTATTATTTGCCGTATCCCCAAAATATTATTAGTAACTTGCATGAAAAATAGACAAAGATTGGTTTATGTGCCCCAACACCACACTTTGAGAACAGCACTCAAATGATGACTCTAGCTATTAAAATGCCAGTATTCACTGTAACATATATTCCAACTGTTTAACAACCTGTTTGGAAAGGGTGTAACCAATGGTGCCACTGCTATTGTTTTCTTGTCTTGCCCAGATTTCAGTATCTTGTTCATCACCCTCAGTGTTTGACATCTGCATTCATTTTAGGCTTCTGCATGGATCAAACCAGCCTGGTTAAAATAATCCCTTAACTCCAACTGTAGTACTGTGTAGTAGCTGTGTTGGCTGCAGTAAATACTAGGGGTCTGTTATTATTGTTGTTGTAACAGTGATGGCTGGCAGACTCTGCCCTGCTGGATACTAATAATAAGCCATGATTAACACCCTGGGGACAGGCTTCTGACCAGCGTGACAGCCTGCAGCTCACTGAGGTCACCTGCCACCCTTGACCTTACCTGCACACACTGAAGTGCCAGGGTATCTGGAGAATGAATGGCAGACCATTATATTGAGATAAAAAAAGAACTTCACTTCCCTCTTGTACACTGACTGGTACAAGAGTCTCTGTGGCTACAACATGTCAGAGTTGAATAAATTCAGAGTAGTTTGCTCACTTTAACATTGTGGTTGAGGAACTGTCAGGCAGTCCACCATCTTTCTTTCCAACCACATTGCCAGCTTTGTTTGTCCACAGGGCTCAAAAGTAATATAATATTAAAAATATTTGTCACCAATTAAACAACAAAATAATATAATTAACTAAGAATTATTTTGAAATAGCACATAATGTATAAAAGTGTAGTATTGTGCTTTTTTGCATATGACAAATTAAAATGTAGTTTGAATATAAAAGTAGAAACAAAACACTGTGAATGAGCCTATTTTAATGTGTAGAGGTGACATTCTCCTGTCAGGTGGAGCATGATATAAAGGATGTATTTTCATAAAGTTTGTCCTTGCAGTGAGACTGTGAATGCACCATTAAGAATCTGGAACTGAAGGTAACTGGTGCCAACAGTGCAATCCAGGAACAAGTTTGTCTTCTTCACCTAGTGGAAGAGGATTAGATGGTTGCCTGCAGAGGAGTGATGGAGTTTGACATTTGTCGTCATTGTGATTCCACTTTCAGGTTCTTTTCCGTCAGTGCTATGTGACAAGTCAGGTCTTGTTGTGAGGTGCTGTTGGATGAGCTAAGCACTCTAATATTCATGATGTTAGGGCTGATGGGAATGCAGACAGTTGTCCATGTTGAATAGAATTTGATTTGATGTTGAACACAGCAGAGGTGGCTGAGGTGGGGCAGGCACGGTTCACAGAGTGCTGAGTAATTGTACGGTTTGTGTGTTGACTAGGCCAGCATGAAGCTAGCATATAGTCTCCTAATGCCGGGAGTCATGTGTAGGGTGTTAGTGTGATCTAGGTCAGGTAAAGCTAGATATTGTACCGAAGGTGCAACGTTAGGTTTAATCCCTGGCCATTGTATCATGCAGCCCAAATCCTTTCAGCTACTGAGCTACAGGCTGTCATACTCTTGACTGTCCTGCTTCTGCCTGGGTTCACAGTCTGACTCTCATGGCCTGCATTTGTTGATGTGTTTGTCTACTTTTTGTTGTTAAACTTAGTTCA